TAATATAGTCATTATTTATCATTTCTCTTTCACTCACTCTTAACTGCATCATTTAATACCCATTGGATGAAATTGGGTTGAAGGCACTTTCATGTCACTCATATAAATATGTTCAGATCTAGAGTTTATTACGTTTAACTAGGATTTATCCATTAGTCTCTTGTTTAATTAGTTTAACAAAATTGTTCATACTTTACGCATTGACCTTGTCCCCAAATCCCTCTTGCACACCTGTTAAAGATGTGAATAATATTACACACCAAAACTTTTAAAGGTGTGTCAATTACACACCGCTTTGGTGTTTGACCACATCTGCTTAAAAATTGCTATTACACGCGCCAATCAGCGTCTCACACGTGTCATAAATCGAAAAAAAAAAGGAAAAATTGAAAAAAAAAACCTCTACCCCCACCCCACTCCTCATTTTCCCAAAAGAAAAAAATACAGAAAAAACCCCACCCCTTCCTCATCTCCCCAACCCCATCATCTTCTCCACCACCCCATACTACCACCAACCCTTCCACTACAAGCACATTCTTCCTCAACTATAGATTCAATTCTTTGCCCGATTTTTAACAAGTTTTAACAACATCCATCACAGATCCTTATAAAAATTTCAAAATCAAGCTCAAACCCAAAGCTTCAAACTTGTTAACGGTGTTTTTTGAATTTTATTAAAATTAATCACCTAAATAAATTTTTATTCAACCATAACCACGAATTCAAACTAATTTTCTAGGTCACAGAACACCAAAATTAACAAGACTCGATTAAATTTTCAAGCTTTTTCAAATGGTCAATAATGGTAATTTTTACAAGACCCAATAGCTCCTCTTTTTTTTTTTCTTTTTTTTCTTTTTCTTCTTAATCATGGGCATTGAAGAGATAAAATATGAGGGGGTAGACAAAACTAGGATGGAGGTTGGGGAAGAAGACGGAACAAGGGGGGAATCACTGGGCTGTGGGTTGGGGAAGAAGACATGGGTTATATTTTTTTCTTTAATTTGTAAAAAAAATAGTTAAAAAGGTAAAATAAATAAAAAACTTAATTTCAGATGAATTTTGTAGTTTTCACGTGCCCCTTTTATGTGTAATACACGCGTGTGACACATGACAAAAGAAGTGTGTAATTGATACACTTTTAAAAGTTTTGGTGTGTAATATTATTTTTGTATTTAACAGGTGTGTAAAAAAATTTTGAGTATAAAATCTATGCGTAAAGTATATATTTTGCCTTTAGAAATCAATAATTTGAGACGAGGGAGTACCAATAGAATAATGTTAACAAAGAAAAGACTAAAGAGAAACTTCCCTAATACGTAAGAAATTTAGGCGATTGTTCTAGAATAAAAACGAGTGGCGCTCTCGACAAGTCAAGCCCTGTCGAGCTCGAAGGTATCTGCCACGTAGACTTTGCGGACCCACAAAAGATATTTAAGGAACTCCTAATATTATCCGTTTGGGCAAGATGTGCGCACTACCAACCCTGCGCATCTTCTTAAGGTAAAAGAAAAACAAACCTACTAGTCGAAACCCTTTCTTTTCGATCAGGCTACTCTCACGCTTCTCTACTCCCTCTGCATAAAGCTTGGATCAACCTCACTGCTCCACCCACCCAAAATACTCATATAATAACACATACATATAATTATAAGAGGTGAATATTGAGAATGGTATCAGGGAGGTGGATTGAAACAGGAGCGGATCTGTGGAAAGATAGGGCACGGTCCCTGCAGCTTCGTCTAAGAGACCGCCTTAGGGTCGCCGTCGATCATCACCGTCGCCGTCCTTTGATCTCTGACGGCTACTTCTCATCTACCGTCGAACGATGGGTCCAGCGCTTCAGCGATTTCCGTAGAGATGCTCTCCCTTCTTCTTCCACTTTCTATCGTAAAACAGGTCAGTTCAACATTATACGAATTTGTAAAACATAATGTGACACAACCGCATCTAATTTGATCTATCTTCCTGTTCGCTAACATCATCAGTTATGCTACACGGAAAATCTTTATACCGATTTTTCATATCTAGGATTTGCGAAATAGTTAGACTAAATAAAAAAGGACTTTGACAAAGAATTAAGGAATGTTTTTAGTTTTATAATTGAAAAATTAGGGAATGTGACTGCACTTCAACTGTATAAAACCTGTTAAAGCAATAATCTATGCTTTACGTAACCAATGCTATCAATTAACATCTAATGAGCTCATGGTATTTGCAAGGAGAAATTGGGAAAATCTACTAACCTAAATAGCAGCTACCTTAGCTGCTTTCTGCCCTTAGACTTCCAATCTCTGAGCTAGAGTTACCTCCTTGATACAGCGAACAGGTTTCTTCATATGTTAAAAGATGTGATTTGAAAGTTAATTATCTCGACTGAAATTAGTTGCTAGAATTACTCCTGGTACCAATATTTATCTACCTTTGATGAATTTAGGGCAGTTTATCCAACTTTCTGGGATTCTTTCGATATGTTAAACCTTGCCTTTGTGTCCTTCATGAGTTGGAAGGTTCTTTCCACTAAACTCTCCAGTCACTTGTACTTGCTAACCTTTGGGGATTTGAGCTCACGAAGTAGTTATAATTCTGAATCCCTATGACTGCAGTTAGCAAGGATATTGATCCAGAAGCAGATTCAGTTCTGACTCGCATGCTTCAAGCTGTGGCTGTACCTGTGCTTGGAAATGTTTGTCATGTGTTTATGCATGGTCTCAATCGTGTTCAGGTAAGCTAAAGATTTGGTGAGTTACTATTTCAGCTGTTGCCTAATTGGGAGAAATAACTCGATGACTTTTGCAGATATACGGTGCAGAAAAATTACATCAGGTGCTGGTCAACCGAGCGGAGAATAAACCTCTTATTACAGTAAGCGATGTTCCTGAGCTACTTCTAGTTCCTTGCTTTAAGCCTCGCACCCCATGATTATGCCTTTTGATATATTACTGTTTAAATGAACTCAGGTGAGCAATCATGTTGCTGCTATGGATGACCCCCTGGTTATTGCTGCATTGCTTCCCCCCAGTGTTATGTTGGATGCACAAAATTTGAGATGGACGCTTTGTGCAACTGATCGGTGTTTCCGTAATCCAGCAACGTCTGCCTTCTTCAAACATGTCAAAGTTCTTCCAGTTTCCCGTGGTGACGGTATATATCAGAAGGTATTTTCTTTGCTGAGATGCTGTTGAGATAAAGTTGATCTAATATTCTAATTGTTTATACATCAGTATATATTTCTTGCTTCTCCAGTCTGAGATGTTTTCTTTGAAATGGTAAAAGAGACTGTGGAGGTTACAGCTAATTGTTCAGTCTATTCCTGCATGTACCACAGGGGATGGACATGGCTATTTCAAAATTGAACCGTGGTGGATGGGTACACATATTCCCAGAAGGTAGTCGCTCTCGAGATGGTGGCAAAACTATGGGTTCTATTAAGAGAGGCATCGGCAGGTACTCATTCTTTTTAATTAATAAGTTGTGAATTGTATTGTTATCGTTAAGTAGGTAAGTTGATATCAATAAGGATACCAGTTCAGTGGTTTAATAATTTTGTATTTGGAGAAGAAAAAGACCAAGAGACAATGTATTGATAGAACTATACAGAAACCAGGACCAGAATTAGATAGTTTTTTTTTCTCTGTTGATTAGCCCCTCGTTTTCCGGCTTATGTTTTTCTTTGTCCTTAATAGATTGGTTCTGGATGCCGACAATGTACCAATAGTCGTCCCATTTGTGCATACTGGAATGCAAGACATCATGCCTGTAGGTGCCAAGCTTCCCAGGATTGGAAAGACGGTATGCATTTTTTATTTTGAGGGTGGTGAATAGTGCAGCTACATATATGGTGTGCCAATATTTATAGTAGAGAGTAGGGCAAGTAAAGAGGTTAAACCTATTACAAATTACTCTCTACTTTGAAACATTTTCATTTCCTGGTAATTATGATTTATAATTTCCTAGTATACTCTTCATGAGCTGTAAAAACTGCAGGTGACTGTTCTTGTTGGTGATCCCATCGAGTTTGATGACTTGCTTGCTGCGGAAGAAAAGGATAATATGCCAAGAGGAAAATTATATGATACTGTGTCAACAAGAATTGGTGATCGACTACAGATGCTTAAGGCCCAAGTCGATAAACTTGCTGTCCAGGAAGCACTACAATCACAATACTACCATGACCGTGTTGGTGAACGAGCTGCTGGGATTGTGCAGCAGATTGACTGGGAAGCTCTCGGCATGGACAATTACTTGAGCAACGGGGAGGATCACGTCTCTCCTCCAAGGCAAGAACCTATTAGTGAGCAGACATTAGTTGATAAGAAGGTGGAGGAGAATAGTCAGGATAGGTACTTTAGGTTTGGCTTCTCTAGGGAAAATGGAATTGTGTCGAGAATGAGAGGTTACATGGACTCAACCGAATTAATGCTATTTTCTGCTAGATGTTTAGTTAATAGTAGGGTAAAAGAAAATTTTGGGAATACAGAAGAAATTGGCCCACTGGAGGCTTGGAACAACTTTTGGATGCCGATGTATGAGAGTCAGGTTTGTAACCGGGAGATTTTACATTAAATGAAGAGTTTAACTGGTTTTGGTCTAAATAGAGAGTTTAATTTTTGTATATTGGTCTGTGCCGCATATAGTTTTTTATACACTATTACTAACTCAAGTAATAAACTTATTAATACTGTAAGTTAAATGTCTTGTCGCATGATTTTGCTAAAAATGATATTTCCGATGAAGGTTTGCATGATCTGTTGTGTCAAGGTAGGCCTTGATTATTCTTCTCATTTGGCCTTCTTGTTCAAGTTTGGACGTTATCGTTTCGAGTTTCTGCCACTTTGGGGTCCTACGGAGTGTGGTCATCTGTCACTATTTAGTACCGTAATGCTTCCTACTGGTTGAAGCCAAAATTGACTCTTGAAACTTCTGGGTCAAAATAATGTAATTCAACGGATCAAAATGTTATATTAAATTGAAAAATTAGGCTAACTCTACTAGGACTATTATTTATTTGAGAAATTTTGTAAAAAAAATCTGAAATTATCTTACAATGCATTAGAAAAAGAGTTAATCAATCAATTTGAATATGGTGAATAGTATCATTTATTGTGGATGTTATCTCATGAAGATCAAATTGGCCATAAGTTGCAACGGAATATATTTCTGAAAGAAAAGAGGAGTAATCCAACGGTTAAAATTACCTGAAAGAGCAACAAAACATGCATCCGACGGTGCTCTGAACAATCAAACTCGAATGAGACCCCACAGTCACCTCAGCTTTGCCTTTACAGATTTATATCCGGGGAGCAGCAGGGATAAAAATGGAAAATAAGAAAACTGGTAACTCCACTTGAATTTACATTTAAAAAGAAAAGAGAGCGACTCTGGTGGGGTTAATGGTATCTTCATTGAATTCAATGGGGAAGAATATCTGTTAGTAATAAGATTGCTAAAATGTTAGAAGAAGAGGAAGATTCTCTGGAATCAGAAACTGAACTCACCGATGAACAGAAAATTGAGATTGCCAAATGGTTCCTTCTTAACTCCCCCGCCGGCGAAATTCAGTACGTCGCCAAAGGTCATTTTCTTCTTTTCTTCTCTTTCGTTTGCGGATTTTTAGCTTTGAAGGTTTTTCGTGATTGAAATTGTAACCGCATTGGTCTTCGTTTGCGATCGGCGGTTTATTGTTTTTTTTGAGTTTTATTCGGTTTGATTTACAGATGTTAGAGCGATTTTGAAAGACGAGAATGTATATAGGAAAGCGGCTGAGGAGGCATTCCCTTCTTACAACAAATCTCACTTGATTTGTCTCGAATTGCCCAACAGAAGTGGCGATGTAAGTGTCTCTCTCTTGCTTTCTTTTGGTTTGCAGTTTGTTAGATCTTTGAGAATGTAATTTAGGCTAATCGTGTCCTTCAACTTGATAATTTTAGCTTTTGATGGTTTTCAGTGGTTGAAGATTTGTGAATGAAGTTTAGCTAAGTTGTTGAAGGTTTAAAAATGAAATATTTTGTAAGCAATACTTATTGTGCTGTGTTGTAGTTTTCCTTAGTTGAAGGTTAGAAAGTTGAAAGACTGAAGGGAACGATAAAAGTTATGCTTGAGAAAATCATTTGTCTTATTGTCCATTAAAGAAATAAGATTACTCTAGTAATGCTCCAAATAAGGCTTTTAGGATAGAGATATATTCCATGGTACTCGGCAATGCTATCCACGAAAGAATTGTGTTGTTTGTTGAGCAGCATGTTTATGTATAGGTTCTCTACATTTGTACACCACTTGTATAGAGGGAATTTCCACCACTTTTCAATAATCAAAAGAAGAAAAAACATTTTCCAACGAACTGTTCTTTATGAAGTCTAAGATTTTGTTCCGCTTTTCTAAAAAGACAGTAAAATGCTTCATGGATGTAGTAATGACCGGTTGGCAGATATTTTTATTATCTTGCTATGTAAAGTTGCTGCTCACTGCATTTGCAGGTATTGGTTACGTCTTTTGGTGAGGTTGATAAGGATGAGTATCTTGATCCTCGCACTGCCCAGGTTGCCATAGTCGACCATGTCAAGCAAGTATGTTGTTTAGTTAGTATATAATGCTAAACGTAACTTTTGGATTTAGTTGGATTTTTTACTATCTGGTGTATTGACATTCATCTTGTTGATAAGATTATAAGTTTTCATTGGATGAGCCACCGAAGAGGTGCCAATTGCCTATACNAGAAAGTAATTCACAAAAGCAAAATAATATGGACAAACATAAACAACCTTGTAGAAGTTAGATACTGTTAGAATGGTAGGATGATATCCAAAAATGTGCTTATTCTAAAAGAAAGGAAAAAGAAAAGTAAAAAGAACAAGACAAAGAGAGAAAAGAAGAAAGAGATGCTTCATATAGTGCTTTGGTATACTCGTTTTTATGCTGTGCATTAAATATCTCCACATAATCTGGTTTTATGCTCATATTTGTTGATCTATAGTTTAGTTCTTTTAACATCTTCTGGCTGGTTGGAACTTGAATTATTAAACACATTCAGGCATTGAGACAAAGAACAAAAGAACCAGAGTGAATTGTGTTAACTGTTAAATTGGTTTATATGATGGAAGTGGCTATGATGAATGAAGATATTGTAAACTTGAAAAATGTGCTTGATATAGCAGGTCCATGATTATCGTCGTTACTCAATAGTTATGAACTTCACATAACATGCATTTCCGTTCTATTCTTGTTAATATGATGGAGTGATGCCAATTTTAAGTGAAAGAAGGCTCCTCTATATAACTTGTCCACGGTTTTATATTAATCCTCATTACTCAAGAGTTATGAACTTCACATAACATGCATTTCTTTTCTATGCTTGTTAATGTGATGGAGTAATGCAAATAGATTGGTAAGGTGAATTAAGTCTCTGTTGATATAACAAGTGCATGAGTTTACTCATTATTCAAAGGTTATGAAGTTCAGTTGTATTTCCTTTTCTTTTCTTTTTTCCTAGTTTATTGGTGTCGAGTAATACTATGTGTGACCTTGTAAGTTCATGTTATGTATGTGTGCTAGGCCTGTAAAGAAGTTAGGCCAGCAAGAGATGAAGAACTTCCATCTGCTTTCGTGGAAGAGTATAGGTAAGCTTCTGTTTTGTATGACATACATTTCTCGGTTTTAACATCTGTGGTTTTGCTTCCCTTTTTAGTTACACTCTACATTCTGTTTATAACCATTGAGTTAAAAAAATTCTATGTTGTTATGACAATGCAATTACTTCACCTAATTGAGCTTATCTTTGTACCATGCTCAACAAGACTTGCAAATGCAACCTCAGTTTCTTGATGACGCTCAAATACATTGTTGTGAATGTAGTTTAACCTAGAGCAAATTTATATGCTATGACATTTGCATTTCTTGTGGAAGTGTTCTTTTCCTGCTTAATTGGAAGAAAAACTGCGTGATTTGGTCAGTGCTTACAGAAAGCAGTCTGAAAATAAATAATTTAGGTATATCTCCTTAGTCTCCTCTCAATCAGTACCATTTCTTCTCTCAGCTTCAACATTACTTTCTGTGTCTTTTCTTTGGAAATATTCGTAGTAATCTGCAGTTCACGTGTTAATAATTCATCCTACGTCATGATTCACGTGCATGTTTATTCCAGTAAGAATCTGACTCATAATACATTGGTTTACCTTTCCGCTCAACTTTATCTGTGAGGAACAAATGTTTCCAAAGTAATGAATAATGGCATCAACGTCAGATACTAAGATGGAAGCATAACACCTAAATTTGGTATTGTTAGGAGACTTTAAGAGTCTAAAAAGATGAGATTCTGAGGGAGCAATAAATTCTTCAATAATTCCTAAGTCCTAACGCTGAACATGCAGATTATGTTGATCATGTCTTTGTTTTATGTGAATAGTTCCCTTCTTTACATGGTATGTTATTCTTCTTCATTAGGGGCTTTGTTTCTGAGCAATGACTTTGTTATTACCATTGCTTGCCAAATTCTCCTAGTCATGATATTTCTTGTGTAGGTCTGCCATGGATGCAGAAATTATGAAGTATGTGAGTGAAGCGTATCCAAAAGGAATCTGTTCAGTTTACTGTACCAAAGGAAAGGATGTGGAAGATCCAGGATCGGACTTTGAACTCGTTGTGGTGATTTCAGCTGCTAGGCATAGTCCTCAGAATTTCTGGTGTGTTGGATTTATCAAAACTCTAACTCTGACTTATATGTGCAACCCTCTCTTTGATTTTGATCATTTCTACGATAAATTTGTGACACACATCACAACGTGGTGCATTTTCGAGAGTAATTTGTAACCGTCTGAGATCATGTATTCATGTTTCTGTATATATCCAATCCTCAAAGATGGACCAAAGGATATGCTGTTATGTGGTCTGAAGGTGTGAGTCCTTTGCAACACGGGTATTTGTTAAATGGCAGTCATATAAAATGTGTGATGCATGTTAGTAATGATCGGGCAATTTTAAATAGATTTTACCAGGAAAACCTATAAGGTGATGTCTCTGATTCCAAGGTGAGAAATACATTAAGGCCAGCTTTCGTCATTGATAGCCAACTTTGTCTTAACCCACCAATTTGCCTCCATTATGTGTCTTCGCTAAAGATCTGTCGTCAGTAAAGCTTGCCCTTTCAGTTAAAATTTGTAAAATAGAGTTCCCAATCCTTCTTATTATGAAGTTGCAATGACCATAGGTTTTTCTTCTAAGACATCTTGTCCTCCTTTGGTTGTAGTCTGTCTGGATAGAAGCAGAGTTTTCATTTCTTGTTAACTCCCAGTAATTACTATGTCTCAATGTGTTGAATTTGCTAGAACACATGCCATTTACATGTTAAATCTATGGGTGCTTTTAAGATATAAGCTTCATTCACTTCTCAATTACAAAAGTGTCAGTATGCTCTAGGTTGGTTTACAAAAGTTGGGATAAACAAAGAATGAGGGATGTCTGTTGACTGTTGCCTATTCTTCATCTCGTCTCTATAGCACACTTGTCACTTGAGTCGATGGTATCTTGTTATAGCACGTCTAACTCATTGAGTCAGCATACATCTTCTTATAGCATGTCTAAAGAACCTAATGCTATCTGCATCTTCTGTAGCAATGGAAGCTGGCGATCAATATGGAATATTGAATTCAAGGATGAAATTCAATCTGTAGAAGTGAGGGGGAAGATGCAGGTATGCTTTCATTAATAGTTTGAGAATATAGTGTTTGCCTTTTGGTTTCCTCATCTTTGTTTTTGGCTTCACCGATTTTTACGCATGAAGTTAGACATCAGTACTAATTTATTTTTCTATGCGGCCTACTGGTTGATGATGTCGGAGAAGATCCTGAGATCTCATGATCAAATCCCAGTGGAGGTAGAAAAACACTAGGTGATTTCTTCCCATCATCCTAAGTCTTGGTGGGCAGAGTTATCCGGTACCTGTGCTGGTGGGAGGTAGCAGGTACCTGGTGGAATAGTCGAGGTGCGTGCAAGCTGGGCTGGACACCATCCGACCACTGTCATAAAATAGTTAAAATCTTAAATCTTGATGTTTAGTTATTGTTGGATTGAGCCGACCCCTACTGTTGCCAGTTTAGGGGTGACGGTAGTTGTTACTTTTTTGTTGTATCAAAAGCTTCAGTATTCAAACTTGTATATCCTTTCCCGCTCTCAATTCAGGTTGGCGCGCACTACTTTGAAGAGGGAAATGTGCAGTTAGATGCACAACATGAATGTAAGGACACAACATTAATTCAGGTAAGTGACTATTGCTTGTCAATGAACTTCTCTTTCTTTATTGTCGTCAGTATCCTTTTCCTGGTCATAACTCATAAGGATACAGAAGCTGTTCTCTACTGTAGGTTGCGCCACTTCTTTTGTTTCTATCTTTCTTTTGTTTGTTTCTGAGCCAGTGTTAAGTGTTAACACAGCTGAACAACGTGTAGAGACTTTAGATTGATCCCTTGTGAGGTACTCGGAGAATGCAGTGAGTTTAAATCTTTTGGCAATAAATCATGATAAATTTTCTCAAAGAATTGTAAGGGAGCGGTCTCTGGATCAGCTATCACCTCCCTTCTGCAATGTGAGACCATGGATGTTGATAATAGTTTCTAACAAGGAATTCGGTTAATATTTGGCATCTATTGTTTTCAAATTACCATTTCTAGAGCAAAATTGTAAGCATTACTATCCAACTTAGCAGTATAACAGACTCCGGATACGATTTCTTTTCATAATTTTTCTTTCATTTACCATGATTAGCATGTTAAGAGTTAAGACAGGCAAAAGAATAAAGGATGAGACATAACAGTTTCTGGAAATCCTATCTTTTGCTGGTCTATTGTTGGAAAAGGTTAAGCTAAAAACAAAACCTTTTTCGTTGAATAATCTTATTAGGAATCATACAGGGAAAGAAAAAAAGTAGCATGGTCAAACAGCCAGAAAGAATAAAAAGTGAGAACTGTTTCTGGAATTCCTGTTCGTTTGTGTAACTAGTGTAACAAGTTGAAGGTCAAGCTAAAGCAAAAGTTTCTTCCTTGAACAATCTCATTAGACATCATATGTATGACGAAGAAATAAAATTTTGATTACTATCTTGTGATTTCGGTATACATTTTACAACAATTTAAGTTTGAATTATTCTGATTTTGTGGTGTCTTTCTTAGTCCCCAGATGATTCTGCAATTTCCTTGGTTAACATTATTCGCCACCATGAGACTGAGTATCTGGCATCTCTTCAGGTTGTTACTTTGTTCCTACATCATCCTCCACCCTTTCTGTCACATCATCTAACACTCCCCCTGTTCCCACTCTTCTACCACTTTTCTATTAAGTCTCCATTGCTGTTATTTTGTCCCAAGTTACTGATAGCCCTTTTACTGGCAGACATCTTACTTGAAATTGCCTGATACCACTTTCAAGGTACTCCTTCAACTTCAAAACCTCTAACATGTTCAAATATTTTACATGAAAAGACGCATGAGGGCTTATCGCTACAATCTCACAGCAGTCACGTATTCTCACTATGTCTTAGCTGGGAGAAACATCCCTCACCACCTTGCACCATGAAAAGGAAGCAAATAAATAAATCTTTATCTTTTGCAGGACTTGCGGAGGAAGCTTCCTGTTACTCGTACGTTGTTCCCATGGCACAACACTGCGCAATTTAGCCTTACAAGGGACATTGAAAAAGAACTTGGAATTGGAAAATAGAAATGTTTCATGCCTTCTATACAAGCTGAACATGTATACACCATTACTGATATGACAAGCGAGTTTACTTGAGATTGCCATCTTCGGCTCTTTGTCGTCTTCTCCCTATTGTATTTCTTTGAGAGGGATCTTCATTTTTTGCCTTTTTACCATGGTTGTTAATGTGGGAATTGTTCCTTATTTGCCAATTGGCCTGAGAGAGTTGTGTATGCTGTGAAGAGCTGTAAAGTAATGAATTGGAAGTCTTTCTTCATGGTTTCTTCCCTTGGAATGACTGTGAACATGCTGGTAAAGAATGACTCTTGTTTAATGTACTTTTTAAAGCGTCTGAAAGGTCGAGGCGAGTCCAAACATCAAATTGTTCGAACTTTGTTTTGATTTCATTTAAGCTGTCCCTTTAAGATTTTGGATCATACAGGTTTGTGCTTGGCTTGATGATATGAGTTGGGCGTAAAGAAAGAAGTGGGGGTTCACATGTCAACCCCAACTTTGTTTGCTGTTGTTGTATACAGATTTGTGTTTCCTTGGTAAGACTAACCTAATTATGCGACTTCCCTGAACATTTGAATCTTTGACCGGTTAAAAAGTACCTGAGCATTAATTATAGCATGATCCGTTGCAATTGTATGATCAAACATTGGGTGCATAGTGTGACCGACAGTAACAACTTGTATCAATTTACACCAAATGAAACCTTAATTCGCGAAATTGTTCACTAGTGATTAGAGATTGCATAATAAAACACTTTCCTTTTCATTCGTGATGGTTGGCTTTCACTTCTCTTTTCGTTGATGGCCGGTTGAAACTTTAAAAAGCGAGAATGTTGAAAGGTTATATTAAAAAATTCCGTTACCGGGAATCGAACCCGGGTCTCCTGGGTGAAAGCCAGATATCCTAACCGCTGGACGATAACGGATTTGTTATGCTGAGGCGTACTTACAAAACTATAAATATGACTTTTCAACAAAATTATGGATTTTAATTTAAATTTGTCTCTTCAACAAAATTATGGATTTTAATTTAAATTTGTCTCTTCAACAATATTATGGATTTTAACTTACTGATATGACACAGATATTTTGTAGGCTTATTCATACAGTAATAATTAAACAGTGATAAATTGTTAATAACACATTCCCTCGTAATTTCTAATGCGAGAGCTTAAATATTTATTATCCTAAATTCTTCCACTTCCATTATTTCTTTGCTTTATGACTTTAATTGATTGGAGAAAATAGGTTGAATATATGAAATTCATACATTACTTGTTTATCAGTAAACTATCTTCTTTTCTTTTCTCTTGGAATATAGATAGATAAAATAACCTTTTTACATTATGTTCATTCACAAAATTATTGTAGTCATTTTCTTTCAATATTTATTAATGTGTTTTTCATATTTTGATCTATATGATGAATCACCATAGCGCACAACTAATACAGTAAACTATATAAAAAATACAAGCGTTCAACAAAATTAATAAGTGGTTCAGCACAACACATTCTTGTAAGTTTGTACTGTGAGGTTACAATATTTAACATGAGTCCAATATGACATGAGACAAGCACCATGATATTATTCACTATTAAAATTTTAAAAAATTAATGACATATTATATTTTAAAAAATATTCATAAAGGGCAACCATTAGTAAGAAAAAATATTGAATGATGCACTTGAAGAAGAGCACATACTTTAAAAGAAAAAAAATTCCAAACTTCTTAAAAATTTAAGCTAGTAATTAACAAAGATTTGACGAGGATGTCACACACCGTATTGTAGCGGGATGGATGAAATAGAGGTTAGCATCCAACGTCTTGTATAATAAAAATGTGCCACCGAAACTTATAGGTAAATTTATAGAGTAGTGGTTAGCCGGCCATGTTGTATGGGCAGAGTGTTGGCCAGTAAAGAATTTCCATATCTAGAAGATGAAATTAGCAAAAAAAAAATAGCAGAAGATGTGCGGGCACATTAGGTTGGATAAGATTAGGAATGGAGATATTCAGGTGAAGGTGGGTGTGGCTCCTATAGAAGACAAAATGCGGGAAGCGAGACTTAGATGATTCGAACACGTGCAGAGGAGAAGCCTAGATGCTCGGTAAAGAGGTGTGAGCTGTTAGATTTGGCGAGTATGAGAAAAGTAGAGGGCAGCCTAAGAAGTATTGGGGAGAGGTGGTCATGTAAGATTTGGCGCGGCTCCAGCTTACACAGGGCATGGCCCTTGATAGGAATGTGTAGAGGTCGAACATTAGGTTGTAGGTTATTAGGTAGTTGAACGTTTTTATACTCCGTACTAGGTGTAAAATTAGTCTAATAGTGTCCTGTCCTTGAATGATGGTGGTACATGTTATGCTCATACAACTTTTTTCGTTCGAGTTTCCTAGTACCTTGTCATTGTTACTGGCTATTGATATTGCTTTCAGTTATTGTTCTGATTTTTTGGTTGTTGGTATTATTTTTTTTGCCTTTGTTGTTGTTTTTGTTCTATTATCTCTTTTCATTTTCTTGAGCCGAAGGTCCATGAGAAATAGAAATACCGTAATACGCCATGAGGAATTCCTACCAGCAAACTTTCCTGTACTCAAAATGAATTATCTAAGTGCTCTCATTTGTCTCATTGTTTATCTCGTAATCATTCGATTCCGCCCCTAAAGCTAGCTCCTACTCCTCCTCCTCCTCTTTTAGGATAGATTCTCCTTGGTCCTTTTTACAAAACACTCTCGGCCGCCCAAAGGACCGGCTATCTTTCTCTTTATATGTAATATCTTGAAAGGCAAAGAAAAATATCTATCGCCCATGGTAGGGATAAGGTTAGCGTACACGTTAAAATTTGTGGGATTATAAAATAGTTTAAAGCAAAATAAAAATGGGAAACACCAAAAAAGAAAAAGAAAATAGAGGCATAGTGGAAAGTGAGGTGTCTGTAATGACCAAAATACCTCATATAATTGAAGTAGAAAGTCGAAACCTGAGGGGGATTTTGAAATTAAAATATGGTGAAAGTGACAATAGCACTTAGGATCAATTTACAGTCCATGGAGCGTGACAGCGTGTCACCCAAGTCATACTTCATTTTGGCAACGGCGTATAATGGAAAATTTTCAATTTACAACAAGCTCGACACTACTTAATAGCCACTTTGAAGGAACCCTACGTTTTCGTTATTTTCAGGTAAGTTGAAGAGAAAGACGAAGATTAACGAGGTAAAAGGCTTTGAATATCCATTTTCAAATCTCTATAATGGATTCATTATCTGTATTATCACGTATTTTTGCGCAAAATTCATGTAGTGTCAAGGCTTTGATCGTAAAAAAGAGAGAATTTTAATGATTTAAGTGCTTTTTTCTTTCTGTACATTGTCTCGGCCAAAAAAGGGATCAGTTTGTTTGATTGGTAATCCGTGTGTTTTGACTTTTGCAGGCAATTTTGAATTCGGATTTTCACGCATCTAAATATGGTACGTTTAGCATTAATCACTTTCTGAGGTGTAGGGTTAGGGTTTTGAGTTCTAATATGTTGTGTTATGAAGCTCTAATTTCTATTTTTCTTTTTCTGTCTCAGCTTCCGCTCTCTTTGCTCAAGACTGCACAGGGGCATCCCATGGTAAGCTTTTGAACCCCCCCATGTAGGGGAGACTCATGCCTTTTTTTTTTCTTTTTCTTTTTCTTTCTAATTTTATTGATTACTTCAGTCTTTAGTCTTTTTTGAGATGTAATGCAGTTAGCTCAATTAGGTTCTCGAGTTCTGCATATTTTGAGTGAACCTGAATTTAATGAACAAAATGGTTATATGAATTCAAATGTGTAATTGTAGTTGATCACCAAATTAGAGAGCGAGAAAACAACAACAATCAGCCANGGTTTCTCGAGTTCTGCATATTTTGAATGAACCTGAACTTAATGAATAAAATAGTTATACGAATTCAGATGTATAACTCTAGTTGATCGCGAAACTAAAGAGCGAGAGAATAACAACAATCAGCCCTTATTTTGTCCTTTTGTTAGCTGACGCTTTTCAACTAACATTATCAAAGGCAATAGATTTTGTTTCAGTATAATTTATCAGTTTCTGCATATTGGTATAGTACCTTAAAAATAAGCCTCAAGTCTCTGGATTCCACATGAAGTAGTCGAAACTCGTAACACCCGATGGGTTTATTAGCTTTTGATTACTTGCTTGTATTCATTGAATTATAACAATCTGGAAACTCTTTTTTTTTTCTAATACAGTTGGTGGAGCTAAAAAATGGAGAGACTTATAACGGACATTTGGTGAATTGTGATACTTGGATGAACATCCATCTTCGTGAAGTCATCTGTACATCAAAGGTAAGTCGTCTTTCCGTTTTAATGTTATTGTAGGTTTTCCCATGTATTGGTGGTGTAATGGCACCTGATTTCTTAAAAATTAATGCAGGATGGAGATAGATTTTGGAGAATGCCAGAATGTTATATTCGTGGCAATACCATAAAGTATCTTAGAGTTCCTGACGAGGTTAGTTTATTTTTTTCATTGTTATGATTAGTAATGCCTTTGTGTAGTATTATTTGTTTTTCACTGCCAATAGTGTGTATGGCATTCTTGAACCTTGAACCAAGGGGTCAAAGGCCTGTGCACATATCTTGTAGTTATATGTGTCATTAAATGGTTGCTTTGCTTGGGTGATTGTAAAATCGTTATACTATGAGGTAAGCTTGCCTTGCATTGTCTGCTTATTAGGAAAGAGAGCACAAAAGCCATAGAGAACTGGGGAGAAAAAGTTCAAGGAAGGATCAGCAGTAAAACTTGTCTTCCAAAGTTCACTAACTGATAATTTAAACTAATGATTTGCCAACTCTAAAGAAGTGTAAGCAATAATAACGGGTGGGAACTAAAAGTTGAAACTCCCAGACCCCACGGTGTGGGATAAGACTGGGTATGTTGTTTTTTTAACTAAAGGTTGAAACTTCTAGCACAACTCTAATGTTACTAAGGCTAAATATGAATGTCCCCATAATCATGTTGCCTCTTTACTATTGATAACATAGACTTCTTAAATGAAATTATTGATGTGGATGGAACATTAGTGTTTTAGATGTGGAACCTGAGTGTTTTTTTCAGATAAGATGTGTAACCAAATGGTTTTCAAATAAGATTTGGAACTTAGATCATTCCTTGTTTTTATTTATTTTCCACTATTACAGGCTTATTTTATATCAGATATCATATAATAGAAAAAGATATAAAGTGTTAGAAATAATACGGTCGAACCATTATTGATATTGTTCTTGCTTGCATGGCTGTAGTTCACCGTATATTCGTTTTCCTGTGAGTTACATTTCTGTTAGAGGAGGTGTGAATACTTTGGTTGTGATGCAGTTTAGCCAAATCAGACGGAGTTG